GAACCATAAAAAACAAAGCTATTTCTGGGTCAGCTGAGAGCACAGATAATGTCTCTCCTGAGGAAACACAGAGTGTGGCTGCAGCAGAGAGGACATACGTCAAGAGTCGGCCTGAAACAGGACAGGGAAATCTCCCAGATGGGGAACCTGGTAAATGATTCCTGGATGCGAGCACGTTGACAGACTCAGACTGCATGTTCAACTGAACTGAGGAATGAAGGGTTTGCTGAGTTGCACATTGCCGGTCTAACCTGCCTGATGTTTAAAAAAATCCCACTCTTCTCTGTAATGTCTTCCTCACCACCGAGGATGCTGCTCCACAACCTTTTTAAAGAAATCAATGATATATATTCTACTAGACGAAATGGGTTTTCTTCTTTCTTGTGTTTTGTTTTCTTTGCCAATAGTTTTACAGATAAATCAACGCATGATTTTATTCTTTTGCATTTTGTGCATGAATTGAATTGCAAGTTTAACACATTTGATATATTTAATCAAAATGAGCAATCAATGCTGCAAAGAAAGGTTTTAGAAAAGACTTACATTTCTGTCTCTTGATTATTTGTTGTCAGAGAATGGCAGAGTTTCTGTCTCTGGCGGTCAAGGAGCTAAACCGGCCAAACCTGGTGAACATCCATTTTTTCTCCCCTAAATCTCAGTTTGATGCAGTTTAGTTATGAGGTCTAAATTGATGAATAAACATGAGTAGAATATTTGAAGGATAAAGATAGTTGGATTGTTTTTATATAGTTTAAACCTAAAATTGATACATTATATTAAAAACAAAGTTTATTTTTCCTTTTATTTCCATATTTTGAGTCCTTATTCTTATTCTTTTGTTTTTGCAGACTGTGGACCATATGGACAATGGATGAAGAGATTAAGATCTGGTAAATTTACAGAATGACTGAGTGTGTATTTATTTCAATGTGATCTAATGATTTAATGAGGATTTCCTTAAATTATCAAAAAGTTTAGAACCTATGTACTGCAAGCAAGAAAAATACCATTTATCTATAATAGTCTGTTTTTTTTTAAAATACTTTCCATCCCCTCATTAAATGAATTGTACTAAAAGACAGTCATAATCTCTAATAATTCTCCTATAGTTCTTTTAATATGAATTTGAAGATTTCCTCATACCTCCCTCCTCACTATGTGCGGTGGCAAAATGAACATAAGTGCTTATTCAGCCTTCTGAACACTTCTTGTTTCACTCTTTTCCTTGTTGATAAAGCTCAAACTAATAAGTTTATAACTTTAGACAAATAGATGCTCTCATGATGCCATTTCTTGACTTGTAAAAAGCAACACCCATCAGACATCTATGTTTCTTGTGTTTTATATATTAAAAAGTGAAGAAAAAGTTATTAGATGCTTGAAATCATTTGCATATTAGAGTATAGATTTAAAAAAAAAGACATGGAACATATTTTGCAAAGGCATTAATCGCTGTGCTACAAAAAAAAAAATCTTAATTTTTTTTTATTTTATTTAAAAGTGTGATTAAACCTTCTGGTGTGGAATGCTGAAAAGGCAAATGAAGGTGAAGGTTTCGAAGTCCTGTTTAGTTTTGCTCTGTCACTCTTCTGTGTGGTGCTTTATGAAACAAGGTGGTGATGAAGCAAAATAATACCTGCATGGTTAACATTTGCCCCGACTAAACAGTCTATTCTTCTTACCTCTGTGTATCTGTGTGCTTTTATTTACCTTTTATCTTCCTGCTCGTACACCTGAATTTCCTTAGTGGGAGACAACTTTTGATATTTCTATTTTATGCTATTTTAAATCTGGGAAGAAGCTGTACAAATAGTTAATTTTTTCTGTTTTTCATTCTTACTTTCCTTGTAATTTAATTTTGGTCCTTGTTCTTATTTTCTATTCTCTCCCTTTTTGACTTTTCTTATCTTTTGTCATATTTTCTTTTTGATTTCTTTTTATTTTCTCTCATTTTTTCTTACTTTAATTTTTGCTAAAAAGTTTTCATTTGTTCTTTAAATAAACCAACTTAGTTTTATTCTATCTTTAACAAATCTTTAATTATAAATTGATTTGATTGTGAGTGTGATTTGAGCTTGCCTGAAAAATAACTCATTCATGTATGCAGCAATTTCATCACTTTACCTGCTTTTATAAGCTTTTCCAACAGGTTTCAGCCTGAGTTTTAGTTAAGACATGTTTATCTGCAGGTTATAAAGGTAATCTCAACATTCCAGGAGTTGGTAATGGACATCGAGCAGGTAAATTGACTTGGTTACATCTGTTACATCTCATTTTTTTATCATATTGAAGTTCCATAAGTGGATTTTCCCTAACAGGTCTTGGGTATCCCCATAGTGGAAAAATTGCACAGCCTGGTAAAATATTTTATTCTCTAATTATTATTATTATTAATTTTTTTAATGATCATTAAAATGTTTTTGGTAACTGATCTGCATGATTGAAGGTTACGGACAAGGAATCCAGCCTGCAGCCGGTTATGGACATTTATATGGAGGTTTGGTGCCAAATACAAGTCTATACCTGTTCAAAATAGGATTTTGTTGTTTTTATATGCATTTTTTTGTCACATGATATGAGATGATGACATTGCATGACTAAAGATGAGTTTTTTGTTGTTTTTTTTAGTAGGAAACATGGGCTTAGGTAAAGCAGCCAAATTAGGTATGAAGCCTCCTCTAAAAATCTGCTGTTTTAATGTTTCTCAGATTACCTAACATCTGCATTTTAACTTTATTTATGCTCTTTATTCAGATCCTGTGAATAGTTTTGGTGTTGTTGGACAGCCTGATTATGCAAGTACGAAAATTTACGCACATTTTGTTTAGAAAATCAGTTGTGGTTTATGTTAATCATCAGAAACTCAATATTTTTTGTTGGTTTTTTTAGCTCTTGGCCAAGTTACACCCATTGAGCAGTCAGGTATGAGTAAAGTTATATATGTGAAAAATAATCGGAGCCTAATGTCACTTAATGTGTGAAAATAATGCTAATTTTTCAGGCGGCACCATGCAGGTCTCATTTAGTGAAGCCCCAGTCATCTCTGCTGGAATTGATGGTAAGACCATCATTCTTTTGCTTCTTCTGAGCATCTTGCAGCAACAGCTTAACGAGGTTCTTCATTTTAATTAAGGAAAAAGTCAGCTGGAGGCTCAGGCTGCAGGCTTTCTTCCAAATGGAGCGCCTCCTAGTGGCCAAACACTTGGAATGGCTTCAGAGAAATCCAACGCCAAATATGGTGAGTTCAGTGGACAAGTGATTCTCCAAACTAAATTAGTATATTATTCTACGTGTCCAGTAAAACTGTCAGTTTGTCCATGCTTCCTCAGGTGCTGCTGGGCTACATATTGGCCAACCTGTCAATCTGGACAATAATGGTGTAAGAAATTATGGTATGTCTGTTACAGCTGCACGTTTTGACCTATAACTTCTGGACTTAATAAATACATTTTTGTCTTATGTCTCTTTAGGTTATGGAGTTAACCCATATGTGCCTGCAGGTGAAGCCAAAGCAAATGGAAAATATGGTGAGAACATGTTAGATTTGTAATAAAACAATTGATCATCTGGGATGCATTAAACTTTTGACTCCTTTTACACAAAGATTTAAAGTTTTCGTCCATTTCATCAACGTAAAATTTTCAGCGCCAGTTAACTTTATTTTTATTTAACATTTACACTTAATGATAATTCTTTTAAATACAGCGTGCTGTAAAACAACTTGTCTTCATTTAGATTTTTTTTTAGATCAGATTATCAGAGTATCAAATACCTTGAGCCAATACAAACAGCTGTTTAAATAAATATTATTCTCTAAGGGAATAAAACTATCAAACTACCCTGGGCCTATGTAAAAAAAAAAATGAATTGCTTTCAATGAAAAACACAAACTGAGATTTGCTATATTTTTCTTAGTCTTGGTTCAATTTTAAAGGACACACCCAGGCCTCATTATTACCAGACCTGTTGAACCATGACACAGCTTATGTAGAACACATCTAACAACATGAAGAAGGCTAAAAGATTCCCAAAATCACTGCTACTTGCTGCTTAAGAAAAATTATAAAATGGAAATAAAAAGGTCATTTGCCAAACTTATTCCTACAAGACTTTTAGGAAGAAGTGATGAGACAAAAGAAAAAGAAAAAACCTTTTTGGATGATGTGAGTCATGTAACATATTGCTATTATAAAACAATAGCATTTCAGAAAAGGAATATAAAACCAGCAGTGAAATATGTTGGAGGTAAAATGATGGTTGGAGGCTGATTTGCTGTCATGGGCTTAGATGACCTGTCATTTCTGAAACTGCAATTTATCTGCAAGTCCACTCCTGATTATTTAATTAAAAGATGGATTAAAGTTCTGCAAGAGCGTAATCAAAGTCTGGGCAAAGATAATAATGAGGTGTTACTTTAATCAGCCCATTTATGTGAAAAAAAATATCCACAGTGCAGTCTAAACTGAAACAATTCAACAAAGAGCCTAACTTCCTACCGAGCGATATAAAAACCAACTGGTCGCCATTGCATGTGTTTGATGACAGCTGTAGCCTCCAGGGATGACATGTCTAGTTATCCGGTTCATGGGATGGATACCTTTTCATATAAGGCCAGATTGGTATGGATTTATTTTTTTTTTTACAGTTATTAAGAATTAATTCAGATAAACCAGCCTTATCTTTCCTATATCGATATCCTTTGATTATAACTGCTCAAATTAAAACAGCTGTTGTTCATCCCTTGCTGTACAGTTTAATAAACTAGACAGCTGAAATATCACTCAAAATGTAAAGAAAAACTTTTTTCATTGCTACCTTTTCAACATGCTTACAGAGGGCCTTGGTGTCAGTGTAAGGGAGGACCCTATGTCAGCACAATACGGTCAGTCTAAAAATAAAAATGAAAGCTGCATTTGTTTTTTTTATATTAAACGCCTGACTAGAAAACAGCTTCCTCATTACAGTTTTTTTTTTTGACAAATGATTCTGATTTTTTTCAGGACAAGGAGGGATTCTCAACAGTGGACAGTTTTTAGGCCTTGGTAGTGAAGGAAATATACCAGGAAAATATGGTACAAAATTAACTCCTTCTGATTTAAAAGCGAAAAACAATTTACCAGTAATGGTGTTACCAATTGTCCTTCATCCTTATCAGGTTATGAGACACTTCCTTATGATGTTCAACCAGCTGGCCTAACTCCTGGGGCAACATCTACAGGTCAGTATGGTTAAATATTAAAGAAAAGCATATAATAATCTGAGCATGCAATAACCTGTTTCTCTATATTTGACACCCAGTGCAATAAATGTATATATACATAAATATCCCTCTATATAAATATGCAATAACCCTGTATAATAATCCTGCTATTAAAAAAAAAAGAGAAAAAAAAGCTGTCATATTTGGAAGCACTGTATATAGCCCATGCACCTTTTCTTCCCTTGGCATTTTCTTCTATTTTGACTATTTGAACTGGTGTAACGAGTACATTTCTCCACTGTGTCAATAAAGTCAATCAATTAATCATGTCAGCAGTGGAGATACATTCACTAAATAGCCTTCAGCTCACACAAATAAATAAAAAATCCAAACATTTAGATAATATTGATGGCATAACTACTGAGATCCTGATCAATTATGACCAAGGGAAGTCCAAAATTGTCACTGTTCAGGAGACTTTTTTCCGTATATGACCAGCTGAGAGCTTATTCCACTAACCTTGAGTGATTGCAGTTCCATGTAGATTTAAAAACGTGTCACAAACACTGACAGTATAAAGCTTGAAAAAGGCAAGCTTCAACATACGCATGCATTGATTGTTTAGTTAATTATTCATATCCTGTAATGCAGGTCCCATTGGATCACCATACCATCCTGCACCATCCGGCTTTGAAAATAATGGGAAAGACGTATCAAAATATGGTAATTATTTATCAAACGCAACAGCATTAAAATAATAATCTAAATATTATCAACTACGAAGTATCAACCACTTAGCATCCTTTTAGCTGCACTATAGTTCTTTTATACTTTTTATTCATAGTTCTGATTGTAAATATTTCAAAGATTATGTGAGAAGCTATTTTCTTGTGGTGTTTCTAGTTTTCTTTACTTAAATTAAATTTTCTTTGAAAAAATAAAAAATCATATTTATTTTAGGTAATTGCAAGGAATGCTGCAAGTTGTGATACGGCTAATTAGATACTGTAACTAACTAGATAAAAACTAGTGTTGCGCCGATGCCATTTTTTGGCCCCGATACCTGGATGTGCAGTTTTGGCCGATACCATACCGATACTCTCTGTTTGAAACTGATGTGTGTGTGTGTGTATACATAAAGAACCGCATACTACTTGGATGTAGAATAATGGCCATCATGTCTTTGTCAAGCTGCTGCCTACCTTTGTGAAGCAGGAAAAAGACTAATACAAAATAAATCCAGTAGAGCTTTTTATTGCCCACCTGGAATAGGTGACAATAGTTGAATAACTTTTGGCTCTCAAAATGGTATCGGTGCCCTGTTTGTTGGTACTCGCCGATACCACCATTTTATTGCTCGATCAGGGCCCTGTCCGATATGGTATCAGTATCAGTGCAACACTAGTAAAAACAAATTATTGTAAAGGATTTTTTCTTTTCCGCTAAAAACGTTAGAGATTTCCCAAACAGGAATGGCTGAAATAGCTCATTATTAGATCGTTCATAGTGGCTCCTGATGCATTTGAGCTGTAATGTCATAAAACTCAACTATGTTTTTATATTTAAAGGGAAAAGGAACAGCTTTCATTTTGAATCTACAAAGAAATTTTGCAAGAGAAGACATTTATGCTCACGGACGACTGTTTGGTGCTGAATTTCTTTTTTTTTTTTTTGTGCGCATGACAAGAGGCTAAAACTAGTGTGCTTTTTTTTTTTTTTAACTTTCATTGCTTTCAAAAATTTAAGAATTTATCAAATGTATTTATCAAAAAAAGAGGATTAGATAAATATTAGCATTGAAGAATTATTTACAGTATAGAAATATTTAACTGATTCTAGCTCGATATTTTAGTTTCATATTTAAATAACCCAAAGCAGATATGCATTAACACAGTTAAATATTTTTCTTTTTCAGATCACATTTCTTTACTTTATTCACCTGAACTACCGTAACTTGTATCACCAGTTTCATACTGAGTCTACTGTGTAGATTTTATGAGAAATTGAAATTGCTCATTGGATTGGATAGGTTGTACATATCTGGTCTAGGCTAACTTTAGCATGTTTACTTTCTGTTTTGATACGACTTGTTAATAATTCTGCTCCTTACATATTTTGATATAGTTTTTCTAAATCTGGTCTGAACATATAAAAACATGCACAGTTCTCCTGCTTTATAAAATTAGCACTTGAATATAGTAAAATTTGATAAATGGTGTTTTAGCTGCTCAGACAGACGGGGAACTGCTGCAGTCAATTCAGTTTCTTTTTGTTTGAAATTTAGGGAGAAGCCAATTTAATTGGAGCAATAAAAACAATGTGCCTGGAGTAAAATACATTTTTTGACAGCAGTGAGTGTGCAGCTTGCACACATCACTAGTGTTTTTTGTTTATAATTTGAAATGTCCGTTTTATGTGCCATCGGCTATAGGTGACAGAGAAGTTCCCTATGTTCCACAGATTCTTGGATTTGGGGGAGAAGCACAAAATGCAAAATACGGTAATTTGATTTTGGGTGTATCTTTTCTTTTTCTCTGCAACTCATAAATGACCCCATTTCCATTTCCCAGCAGGTGCACAAGGAGTTTACCAGACACAGCCTCTTGAACCTGCAACTGGAGGTAGAAAACATGAAAAATGCATTGTTATGCCTTATGCGGTTTGCTTAATGTATAAAATATGGTAATATCATTGAATTTGCAGATATGACTGGCATGATGTACAACCACCAAACTACAAAAACAGAGTCGGCAGGAAAACCCTATGGTAACTATATATTTATATTTGTTTATATGTGTGTGTGTATATGTGTATATGTATGTGTATATGTATATATATGTGTATATGTATATATGTATATATATGTGTATATATATGTATATATATATATATATAGTTATTCTCTTCTAACAGGATATTTTTGGTTATATTTTCCTGACCATTAGAAAACGTGGGGTACATTAGAGGAAACATGAATCTAGAAGGTAAAGCACACATCAAATTCAGAACAAAAGCATAAAGAAATGTATATAATTGTAATTTGTATATAAAACCTCCTCTGTTGCATTTCCTGCAGCTCCCACTTCCAGCCCTGCCACGGAGCACTCGCACAACCTTCCAGGTTCCTTTACAACAGATGACAGCATGCAGGATTTAACCAATGCTGATGGCAGAACTGCTCCAGAGTCACAAGGCGAGCATCATGTTTCTGATCATGAAGACGAGCAGCTGCCACGTCAGATTCAAATCCAGCAGCATCTCAAACTACATTTTCACCCACAAGGCAAGTGCCGGAGCATGTAAAGTATTTACACTCATTTAACAGATCAATATTACAACTGATGTGTCTTACAAATATCTTGAGATTTTTTGTCATAGAAAGTTGATCACAATCATTCTTGTTAAAACCTTTTTTTTCTTCCTGATGCTTTTCATAAACATGTGCGACACCAAATTGATTAGATTTTTCTTGCAAATTAACTTTCTTGACTCTAAGAATTTTGTCATGGCAAAGAAGTAAATAAGCCAACGTAAAAATAAAAAAATCACAAAGCTTTTAACATTAGCTTTGATGATCCCACCAATATATTTTGCAGTAAGGTAGATGGGGTCACTGTTTATTGTTAGTTTTTCAATCCACCCATTAAAAGCAGCGCATTCATCTAACTGCTGAATCCTCTGCATGGCTTTTGGACAACTTTAACAGAGCTGTCAAAATCTAAACAGAAGCTGAGAACTTTTGCATGTTAAAAAAAACATAGCTGATAGGACATAACTATGTAATAACCAGGTTATTTCTAGTTTTTTACTTTCACACTTTTGCACAGACAGATCTTTTTGTTGTTGTTGAATTATTGTTATTATTATTAGGGTAGTCAATAATAGATGTACAATTTTACGATCCAACAATTTGTGAATAAAAATGTTAAAATAAGTGTATTCACCCTTAATTTGTGCAGATAAGTAAGATTATCAGCCAATGAAATTAGTATTTTCACCCTTAAAATAAGATATTAGATAATATGCACTTATAATAAGAGCCTGTAGTTGTGTTCTCTTATTTTACAATTAAATTGTCTTATTCCTTTGGCACCTACTTGCTCAAGTTAAGAAAAACAATGCACTTATTTTAACAATTGACTTCGATTTCAGTTTTTTGCAGATGAGTAAAGTCTATTTTCTTTTTTACTAGACCCAAGGCATTTAAACAGATATTTTCATAGATATTTTTGTAGCTTTTCTAAACTTTTATGATGTGCATTTCTATTTTTAGGGGAAAAGAAATTTGATTTGAATGGCTTCTTTGGGAATAGTGACCATCAAGGTAAGCATCATTTTGTCTAAAGTAATATGTTTCCTTCATTTTACTGTCCTTGCTTACTAATAAATGTCTTTCCTCCTAGATTGACTCGGCTGAGAAAACACAAAAATGCCTGCCATTTTTCCCAACCCGGAAAACTTTACTATACAAACAAACCCAGTATGATGCTGCCCAGCAGGTGATGGTTTGTGACCACTTTGAAAGCTGACACTTTGTGCTATTCTTCTGTTATTACGCTGTAAGAGAGAATGTGGTAAAATCACTCCAATAAAATCTACCTATACATTGATTTGATCAGCTTTTATAATCTGTTAGATGTCAGTCATAATATTTTTTCTAAGGAAAGCAAACAAAGTTCCTCTTTAAAAACCAGATTAGCTGAAATAGATGTATTTGTTTCAGTAAAAAAAATTAAATTCACTATGTAGGGGTCTAAATTACCCTTATAGGCCCACAAAACCTAAGGTGTGCCTCTGCTGCCAGCATGCACACAGACACCTGACAGATATTAAACACCTTGAAGTTAAATTCTGCTGCTTTTATCTATTAAATATTCCCAAAACCCCCACTGTCCATTGCATTCTTACTTGAAAAACTGCATTGTTAATTTCAACCTTCTCAAAACTATGAAATCCATGCCTGAATGCCTTCATTTAAACTCACCTGTGCACAATACAGATGAAAATATTTCGGATTAATCATGGGATGCATGGAAGCATTTTATTAGTGTTTATAAGCAATATTAACAAAAATGCTTATCTGCAGTGAGAAATACAACCACACACCATAGTTTGAATATGAAATCAAAGATGGAAGCAAACAAACCAACAAAGGGGGAACTATAAAGGAGCCTGTTTTTGTATTTTATTTTCCTCTTTGTATGCAGAACTCTTTCACCATAATAAGCTGCAGTTTTGTTTTACTTTATTTCCCAGCAGGTAATGTTTTTATTTTTCATTTAATGTGTGAAAATTCTATTTTTTTTCTTAAATAAGCTCTTTTTTATTTTGCAAGGATGGCAGAACTTTTCCTCTTAATTCTATAATAGTGTTTCAGTGTAATTTATGAAAGAGGAAACTGTTGTTTTGTACCAGGCAATGTGTTTATTGTACAGAATTTGATTAAAAACAATCCAGTCCCAACTTCTGTCTTTTGTTTGCATCTTTACCAGAAAAAGTAAAATCAGAAAAGCATTGCATGATTTATTTCTAACATTTTCACCAGTTTTGTTTTATTTTCACCATGTATTTAATTCTCTTCTGTGGAGTTAAAGCGTGAGTTAGTTATTAACAATGACAAGGAGAAGCTGCATCAGTGCACACGTTCTTTTGCAGGGATTACCTCAGATTAGGAAGCAAAACCTACTGCTGATTGGTTGTGCTCAAACCATGCGACTTAGACAGCTCAACAAGTTGCCTGCTTGGAATTACACCTGTCCGACGATGGGTCTCAGAGAGCTGAGGGCTGCCGGTGGCTGAGCGTCCTGAGCACAGCCTCTGTTAGGATGTAAATGTAGAGGAACTCGTAGAATAGGGCACTGCCTGCACAGAGTCGTGATGGTTCTTTATCAAGGACCACGGCTCTTGGACTTCACAAAGACCCCTCCTCACCTGCAGTTCAACAAGTATGTCCTGACTGGATACCGGCCCGTGTCCACAGCCAGGGAATGCCTCAGGAGCCTCTTCTACATGCACAACGAGCTAGGGAACATTTACACTCATGGTAGGTCTTCATTTCAAAACTCAGTGGTGCTATTCTGATTTTAAAAATCCACTCCAGAAATGGTCAAATTACATTTTAATAGTAGAATAGGTCACCTCAGCACATGGTTTGTACTTTCACTTATGCCGGTTACAGGCATCCTTGAGGGAGGTGTAATGAGGATCTGGGGTATTAGCTCTAATCTGCCCCTGGGAATCCCATAGTTGGAAATATCCGTCAGTTAACTGGGTCTTTAAAGGTGACTGATGCTGCTGGGGTTAAGGAACCAGCAGAGAATGGGACATAATATTTGTCCACTTATTTCAACCTTTTATTTATTTTTAACTTGCAGAAAATAAAAGCAATTGAAATATAAATGATGGCATGACCTTAATCACTCTTAGTGGGAGGAAGTCAGTGGTGGCGTTAACATGCCCCATGTGTTTGAGCTACTGCCATTCAAATTGCCCACTATTTTAAATAAAAACCCAAGAGGGACCATTTTCTGTTTCTTTCCCAACTGGAGCTGCATAAGAGGATGCAGCTGTTATGATTAAATGTAAATACTGAAGGACATTCTTTCATATTTTCCCATAACTCAATATGTTTTGGATTCAGAGCACCTTTGCAAACCTTCCTTTTATAACCCCTTTAGGAATCCCCTTCCTCCTCTTCTTGGTACTGCTGCCTTGCAGTATCCCCTGGATGGAGGTGGACAGCACCTGGATATGTGTGGCCCACTACCTGGCCTGCCTCTGCCCCACCATCGGCTCAGTCCTCTATCATTTGTTTATGAATCACATCGGAGGTCAGCATGTCTACAACACTCTGCTCTCCCTGGACATGCTTGGGGTCTGCCTCGTTAACACACTGGGTAAGGCTCCTATGATTCCATCAATGCAAGCTCAGACCTTTAGATATGATTCAATGCTTTAGACGCATCTCAGCTACAGTGATGGGTTTGGGTCAAGAATGCTGATCTGTGTTTCTTTCTGCAAGGATTGTGCATGTTCTCCCAGTAATGATTGCTGGAGGTAAACAATGTATGGGATGGATATATATTGCTTAAAATTCTTGAAACCAAGTTTTGTCTTTTCTGATTCACCTAAGAAGTAAACGCGCATTTATAATATACGTTTAGTATAATCGTAATCATTTGAGAATCTATGTCACTTGGATCATGAATACTTGAAGATGCTTTTACTCTTTATTTCGAATAGAAGACCAAGACATTAGCTGCATAAGATGTTTCTTTGCAGCCATTATGATTGAATGTATATATTAAATATATTGGCTCTTCATAGGCTGCAGCACATGGCCTTCAAAAATCTAGTTATGTCCTACAATGTCAGGGTGCTTCCTGCCAAGGCACTAAATAAGAATCTCAGGGTTTAAAAGCAGCAAGTAAGTGAGTTTGAATTAATTTATGTGGTTATAAACACTGACAGGGGTAACCATGGTTTTAATTTATCCCCAGTTCTGCTATTTCATGCTGCAACTTAGCAGCTCCAAGGTTTTTGTCTTCATCAACTTTGCAGTCACAGACATTTTTTCCGGTTTTGCCAGAAATGCTTGATTTAACTATTACAGTAAAGTCTTGGATCTCAAATTTAAATCCTCGAGGGCTGCTGTTCCTAAATCAAATGGCCACAATGTCACCAACAAGCTGAGCTCACATTTGTATTATTGTTCAGGTGGATTCACATATAAAAGTGTGAGGCACAGGTGCATCCTTCGGAGCAGAAGATATCTGAAGCTCCTGCGGAGTTATGACTGGCTGCTGCTTCTTTGATTAGCGCCCTGCATGGTGGCTCTGTCAGGCGTCTGTCCTGGTGGCTCTAAATTCATTCCATCTCCAGATGATCGACTGAACAGAGCTCTGCAAGATGTTCAAAGCTTAAACAACCCCACTTAGATGTCTCTAGGACTTTTTTCCTGCGGTGTTCCTTCGTCTTCATGACACTGTTTTCCAACAAAGGATTCTCAGATTAAATCAAAGGTGGAGTCTTCCATTTGTTTGACTTCTCTGATCTGTTTTCTACTTTAGCTCAATATTTGTAAAGAAAAAAAAATAATATATATATATAAAATCTTAAAAGGATTACTTTCGGAATTAGAGCTGCTGAATTAGAGGAAAGTATCCATACATTTTCAAATAATATCTAATGCAGTTGTATGAAAGTTCTTTTAAGAGATTTTTAGAGTTTCCTCTAATAATCTCAAAGTCACATGATTAGTTTGAAGTAGCTGCTAATGTGTATTAACCTGTTGTCACCTCTCTTCCTGCAGGAGCTCTTCCCATTATTTACATCACCCTCCTCTGCTATCCCACCGTCCAAAAGATTGCCTTGTTGGCCTACATCCTCCTGTCAGCCTACGGGATCTACTGCGCCACCACGGCCCACACCAACTTCCTGCGACTTCGGGCTTTTGTCTGGCAGGCATTGTTCCGCTTCAGCCTCTTCCTGTTCCGGGTTTACGGTAACGGGGCGGGCAGCCCAGACTCCCTGCGGCTCTTCGTCATCATGGACAGTCTGGCTGTACTGGGAGGGTTGGTCAACGTCGTCCAGATCCCCGAGCGCTTCAGCCCCGGCCTGTTTGACAACTGGGGCAACAGCCACCAGATCATGCACGTCATGGTGATCTGCTCCATTATCTACCTGCACTGGGGCACCATGGAGGATTTAGCCTGGATTAACAATTTCCAGTGTCCTGTTGAGTGATGCAGAAGTTGACTTGGTGGCTCTGACCCGGTCCGTTTCAAAATGCACTTTAGTCCTAGTCGCTCAAACTCTTCAGCAGAAGTTCATAATGCCAGAGAAAAGGGGAACCAACAGCACTGTTACTGAACTCTGATATCCCGTTATCAGATTGAAATCCTGAGCATACTTGATTCATAGTTTGCTAATTTGCAGTAGCTTGTGGGATATAACCCATTACTAAAGAAAAGCCTGCAAACTTGCAATGCACAATAAAGTTTATATTTTTATATCTTGGGCTTAAGTGTATATTTCATGCCTGGTAAAAACTATTCATGAGACGAAGTGGAACAAATTGTGGTTCTCTTGTTTAATCTCAAAGAAAAATTAGGTCTCTGTACATTTTGAAGGGAAAAATCTGTTTGAATCTGGATCTGGCAACAACTGGATGATGGTCTAGCTAAAGCTAGCCCTCAAAAGCATCAATTCTATCAACACTGGAAAATAATGGCCACCTAGAGAAAGCAGGTGTTGTTTTAATGATGAAGAGATCCTGCTATGGTCCAACAGTTTGTTTCTAAACACACAATCACTGCAAAGGTGTGTGATTTGTGACAGTGAGGGATCCGGGTTTTTTCGGCTGCTGAGGAAGACTTTGGCCAATCAATGTAGATCAGTCTTCACCCGAGCTGCTGTCGTCCTCTGCGTCTGATAGATCAGCGATGGGAAAGCGCAGGATGGCGGCCACGCCGCTCAGCTGAGTCAGCTCTGAGGAGACAGTTCAGGATAAATCACTGCAGTGGGATTTTTAACGACCTAAAAACACCAAAACATGCCTTTTTCTAAATGAATGTCATTAGGAATGGAATATGGGCAGATGACAAGGCAAACTGCATATTTGGCATTTACTTGACGATTGAAAATACAGTAACATCATTTATACTGAATTAGATAAAAAATATAAACTATAATGATAAATGTATTTATGTACAGATTGGCACCCATGCTTAAAGATAAAAAGGAAAATACATTCAGCTTTCATTTACATGATTTTTTTCAAAAGTAATAGTTTCCAGACTAGCAAATTTTGGCCATTAAGTTGCAAATAAATATATATATTTTTTTTAATACTAAATTATTCTGCTTTAGAAAAAATTATACTTTAAGAATAAAAAAAACCTACTACAGTCTGACAATGAGTGTTACATTGTGACCTTTAAAAGGTTTGCATGCAAAACAGATTAGAAACTTGTTGCCGTGTGCAAAGCTGATCTACTAACCACGCAGCACACTTTGAACTGCATGTTGAAAATGTGCAGAAAAATGCTAATGCAAAAATGTCTGAATTTAGTAGCCCCAAAAGAGGTAAAATGAGAATCTTTAAATATATGTGGGTGGTCCGAAATGAAATTAATATAATTTTAGTAGGGAAAAATATGGGACAGAAGAATGCAGTAAGAAGCTGGATAAATAAAAGATAAATTAAATGTTTGCTAACACCAACCAAATGTTACCGGCTATCAAATAGCTGTTATTAAATAGTCTGTAAAAAGAGCAGTCAAGCATGACTTGCTGGCTGGGAGGAGTTCAACTTACATCACCTTTAAGGTCATATGAGGTCAGAGTAAAATCCATTGACCTTGGGTTTAGCTTTTCTCCAAAACGTGCAGAGTGAGATTTTTTGTGCAAGCTTTACAGAATCTTATTTGCAAAAGTAAACAAACGAGCTGTTAGAGGAGATTTTTGTTTTTTCTATGTAAAACAGCTTGAAAATAGAGTAGAACTATAAATTGAATCTGAATTAACAAACCAGAGTGGTATTTATTTAGGTATTTATTGCAAAAGTGTTGCAGCTGTGCTCTTGCAGTAGGGTGTTTCTCCTTAATTTCATCAGGAGGTGTTTGTGTGTTTGGGGTGGGGCCAAATATGATTTAGATATATCTGTGAAAGTCATATATTAAATCTTTTAACTTATGTTTATCTTTTATTTGTAGCAGTTTTAAATCCTTCTTTTGACATTGAAAAATGTAATAAAAATGATCTCCAACTATATGACTGCTACCAAACCACCCATGACACACACCATGTCCTTATTCAAATAGTTCAAACTGAACTGGTTTTGTCTCTGCTAACTATTGTGTTCGTAATCTTTACAGAATCCTCACAACACACCCAGCTATACCTCAGCTAATTGTATAATGCATTGTCCTGTGATTTAACCAGACTCTGTGGTGAAACTTCAAGTCTGGTTCAACCTGAATTTTAAAATTGGAGTGCCTTCAAGCAGGACGTTAAAACAAAAAACAAAAATACAGATAGATAAAATGCTAAAATCAAGGGGGAGACAAGTCAACCAACGACTTTACAGAGCATCATTTAATTTTTTTTTCCTCTTTAAATATTATAGACAGAGTGGAAAATCAAACTCTTCAAACAAAGACATGACAAGACATTTTACTCCAGAACTTGAACAGTTTAAAGTTATTTACAGTAATTGTAGCCCATGCTGTTAAAAGTGTATTTTTTATACGTTTATAGCTTAAAGGAAGTGGAGGATTCTTCACTATGACTCTAAATCTCATCTCTCTTTTCCACTCAGCCCCACTGCTATATTATCTAAAACTTTTAGGTGAGACAGCGAGACATTTTATTTTTTATAAGATAAAAGTTTTTGTGTTTTTCTTTGGGACCCAAACCAAATGCATCTGGATCGAATCTACATCTTGTGTAGCGTGTTTACATTTGTAAAGCTAGAAGAGGTGAAGCTTTGTTTCATAGCTGGGGTCCCAAACATCTGGATCACTTTAACAGCGTCTAATAGACCTTAGAAGCCGTTTAGCAGCTCTCATACAACCAGTTTCTGATTTTTAGTTTTTGGTTTACCTCCGTAACAAATCTGTAACCTGGAGTTGTCCTTCCCGTTTTACAGTTACAGTAGGTACCTTTGTTATAAATAATTAGTAAAAAAGTCACTATATCCTGACAGTAGAACAGTGTTTCTTTAAGGCTTTTGAGGGCTGCATCAATAGAACCTTTTAATGTGTTTCTGTGCAGATTTTTAGTAAACAAGTCCATTAAGGGAGCGGTTATATGAGAGTACGTTTTAATTATCCTAAAGACTGATGATTTGAAAGTATCTAAAAAAAACAACAATGATTTCATCAGGGATTTTTGCTCTTTCAAATGCAGATATTTACTTTCATAAACCTGTTTCTGGAAAGGAAAACGCTTGTTTTTATTTGTTCAATTAAGTGCAATTCTGAAAGGACAGAACATAGAAAATACACGACCCTATAAAACTTGAATATACAGGTTAACCGCAGAACATAATCTATTTTTGAAAGACTTTAAGACTAATTTCACCTCTGTTCTGTTTACTACTAGCTTTATACAAATCGCACACACTCGTCTATTTTCCATAACCATCATCTAACACTTAGATAACATTTTCTAACTCCATATTAAAGAAAAACATTATTCAGACAACATTTTTGTAACTTACGTTCCCCAGAGACATGAAGGCTTGAGAATATTCTGCACAGAGGAAAAAAAAACATTTTTACAAAGAACAAATATTAGATATACATATATAGTAACTTTCTGTAGGCAGGTTGTTAATGGAAAGTTACCTGACATTTCCACCGTTGTCTCTTACGTTGTCGACCAGCCGCACATAACGACTCCGTGTCTGAATGTCCTGATGTCTGGAGGCAAAACAAAAACAACATATATGCAGTTGTTGCACTGAGATGGATGGTTTCTGCTGCTTCCAAAGTTTCCACAGCAGATTTCAAAGGTGAATATTAAATGTCTCCATAGAGACACAGAGGACTGCGTGGATATGTGGAACGATGGACCAATGGAGGCTGAATTGTGGGTTAAAATCAGATGAAAATGTTAAATTTAACAGCAACCTTTTAATTCTGTGAACCCCTCCAGGATTCTCCTCTCTTTACGCACCTGAACAACTTATCGCTTATCAGCAGGGTGTCGATGGCCAGCGCGTCAGCAGCTTTTTCTACGTGAGCAACTCTGAGGATGTAAATCAGAACAAAATGAGTGGAATTGCTGCTGATCCCAAACTGTTTGCTCTTGCTGATGGTTTCTCACCCATAGAAGGCTCTGTCGGGCTCGTGCTGCAGCATCTTGTAGAAATCTTCCAGGGCTTTCACCTCTCCAGCTGCCTGGAGGTTTCACAGAAATGGGAAAATCCATTTGGAATTAGTAAAACACTAAGTCATAAAAATTGAGATCTAAATTGCGATTATTTTCAACCAATACTGCGATTACGATTTAATTTTGGCTTCCTTTGCACATAGATCTGCATTATAGCTGGAACTATTTTCCCATTGTAAACATATTTCCACCACTTAAAAGGCTGGAGTGAGAAAACATTAGTATCTCACTCTTGTTAATTGTAATATGATAAAAATTTTGCACGATTTGAAAATTGCATTTTCTTAAATTGCGATTACATTGCAAATGCTGTTAATTGCCCTGCCCTATTTTAGATAAACAAAAACCAAAAGGACTGAATACTATTAGCACCTGATGCGTTCTCCATTTGATTCCGTTTTAGTTTATTTTCCTGAAACTTTAGATCAAAATAAGCAAATTTGTGAATTCCAAATTAAATCTGTCCTCTTCCCCTGACTTGCTGCCTTGAAGACCATTTTGCTTACCTTGGTATCGGAGAGCCTGCTGGTCACCGCGGGGTCACAGAGGATTTCTGGTAAAACAAGCATCCTGCTTCGTCTTACATTTGAATTAAAATCTGACTGTGTCATTCAAATTTGTCCAGCGCCTCCTACCTTTGAGGGAGTATTTATGGCCTGATGATGAGTGGACCAGCATGAATTTGGGTCGGTTTTCCAGCAGGACCTTGTTGTCCTGTCGCACCGCCTCTTTGAAGACGTAAGCGAAAAACTGGTCCTTCACAAACCCAGGACTGGCCACCAGGATGCACTTTACCACTAACCACAATCAGAAAAGAGATTTTCATCTGGATTAGCAGCTATAACTCAAAACAAAACACTGGAGTATGTTGAACAAGTACTGGTACTGTGAGTCATGGCGGTGACAGACCTTCAAAATTGATGTGACGAAGTATCGCCTGCATCACA